GAATGCTGCATGAAGAGATTACGCATACCTCTGAGAACTTGTGGTTTTGGTGTTAACCACAGTCAATAAATAGGAAGTTACACTAAAGTTCTGCACTATCATTCATGAGGTAAACATAGCAACATGGGCTGGTAAGTTTCCATTGCCATGGATAGACGGATATTTGCCTATCATAAGAGCTCATACTGATTTAGTTTCTTAAACTTGGGTAAGGCTACTAGCATGTTGAGTTTAATTATATTCGTTAAACTAAGGCTACGTTCTAAAAATGACGTACGGGGTCTTTTTATCAGCCTTTCAGCTTGTGCAGAAATTCAATGGCATTACTCAGAACACACACACACACACACACACACACATATATATATATACCGGTGGCTACAATGAGCATGTTGTCTCATTTATGCTGTTGATGTACTGTTGATCAACGTGATGTCTAAGGCTGCAATTAAATTTTTCTGTTTCATGTTTCAATACATTCGAGATAACAACTTGAAGCTTAAGCCTGGAAAGTATGTTCAGAAGTGCGTAAAGGTGGATTATCTTGACCACATGGTAGGTAGGAACAGTATTAAGATAGTTTGATGACGAGGAACCTACTTCATAGAAAATAGTAGTTTGGAGATGGCTTGACGTTGTGTCACATTTCACCAAGTTCCCGTCAAAGAGGCTTGTAATATTGCACTTGACGTCTACTGTAATGACCCCAATCCTTTAATTGATATCCTCAATACACTTTTTGTTTTCCTCTTAGAATTCACAACAACAAAAACATACTTCATTTTCAACAAAAACTTTCTTCAGGAACATGGTTTAAGCATGGGCAACCCTGTTTCACCTGTTCTCGCCAACATATTTATAATCCAGATCAAAACCTAAGATATACAATCCGCACTTTATCCTCCGCTATACTGGTATAGATATGTTAACGACACCTTTGCTGTTTTCATTTCTACCGAACACATACACACTTTTTTGAGCACGTAAATTCCAATTCACGTTTGAACATGAAAATAACAAACAGCTATCTTTTCTTAACATCAACATTATTAGATCCGACTCACAGTTCAAAATCAACATTCATCGAAAAATCACTCGCACAGGCCTCTACATCCCCTGGAACTCCGCCCATGAATCCAGACAAAAAATCAACATAGTAAAAAACTTTTTTAAGACTTTGCTCAACTGACTATATAGATAAAGAAATCAACTCTATAAAGCATTCCTTCATTCACACCAATAAATTTCCACTAACCATTGTCGAAAAAGTTCCATACAACTACCACAACAAGAACCCCAAAACTCAACTCACAAACAAAATTAACACTAATGCACCAAACAACAACATAATATAACTCTGAAGCTTACCATTTATCCCTGACATAAGTTCAAAAACATCAACACTTGGAGAAATCTTACCATTAAACATAAAATTCCTATTGACTTCAAATGCACCCGAAAACCTATCCCTAAACTAAAATCATCATTAAATTAATATCACACAATATCAACGTTATTTATAAAATAACGTACAATAACTATCCGGAATTGTACACTGGAGAAATCTGAAGAAAACTGGAAACCAGATTCACTCAACATAATAAAAAACCCTCCTGTGTTTACCACCATTGCAACTCAAAAAACACAGCATATCCATACAAAACACTAATTTTAAATATAGAACCAAACATCAATAAACGTAGAATAAAAGAAGCTTGAACAACACAGCTCCACCCTAAACCAACACCTCGGGGTACCAAGATACCTATACTAGGCTGTGAAGCAATCTACGGTCATGTAACCTCTTTGTTCCATAATGTATATATATATTCATGTGTCTCTGAGGATGACATAATCTTGTAGAAACGTCGTACATTTTTAATAAAACTTTCTTCATTACCCAGTCAAGCAGTCTCCAAACTTGCACAGATCGCAGCCACCTAGAACTAAGACCAGCCCACAACCAAGACAGGATAAAAATTATCATTGACCTTGTTTCGTAATACTGGACTTTATAGCCAACTTATTAACTATTGTAGTAACATTATTAATTCTGACTAAAGTATATACAAGTAATAACTGGGATGATGACCATGAGCACACCATTCAGTTATTAAGATATGCTGTAATCGACACAATAGTATTTATTTATTCAAGGCAGGAATGCAAGTTCCTTCTTGTTTCTGACACTAATGGTACTGGTATCAGAACTCATACTTTTGCAAGTGAGGCGTGTGTACTTACATACATGAGCAGTAACATTGATTCCTGCCGAATAACATTATTGCATCGCTAAAAAGAAGTGCCTTGCAGTCGTCTACTTCAAGCATTTCATTTATTATCTGTGTGGGTGGGATTTCACTATCAGAGTAAACCATGCATCTCGCAAGTGCCTGGTAAACAACCAATTGGATATGATTGTGTGATGAATATTGTTGTTAAAGCTCTTTCCCAATCATGAATATCAGAAAATAAACCTACAAGCTAACTTAAATAATTATAAACACAAAGAAAATCATATATATGTATTTATATAAACATAAAAAATTATAAACCTAACAGCATCAAGTTCAAGAAGGCGAATATCAACTATTATCTGACGCCAAGTATATTCTTTTTGCAATTGTTCTAAGACTAGCATTTTTTTTTCTTGATTTGAATGCACTTATGATTGATTGTAGGAAGAGAAAACGCGTAAATTTAAAATATCTTTTATACTTCAATTTGGCTTACAATTTTACAGGTTAGCGTTTGAAATAAACGTAAACGCATTCATTCAACAAACAACAGAAAACAACAAGAAATACGACAGTAATGATATATATCCTTTTTCTGAGATTTGATATCTAACGACATCGAACCATCTGCGAAGAATATAGAGAAAAGAAGTTTTTAATGGAAAAGGAGGAGTTAAAATAAAATTGTACAACAATCGAACAGCACCAAAACGAGTTAGCCGATAATGTAATTTCCCCGAGAGGGTGCCTAAAGCAGCTTGAAAGGGTCACCTGTTTTAACCACTATGCAGTAGAGTGTTGTCTGTCAGTCAGTCAGTAGATACTAAAATGACGTCACATAAGGGACGCTTAACGTTCCAAATTGTACTGTCGTGACGTCAGTAAAACGTGCACATACCATGAATCACGAGAAGAATTATGCACTCTATAAGCTATAACATAGCATGACAAATGAAGTTCAAAAGGAAGAAATAAATATATTTGTTACTCTAATTTTGATTTTATTTACTCTTGAAACAGAACACTTTTGGCGACCCTGTGGAAATACATCTAGTACATACCATCAACATGCACGCTCTTTGAAACAAAGAAATATATTACGTTTAATTTATTGAAGTTATTTAAATCTAAATTCATTCCGTGAGATGCACACGATTTCTTAACATGTATTTGCAACAGTATGAATTTAATCAGTTTAATGGGAAATACTTTTACTTAACCTGCGGATGAGACTATTAATCTTATTGAAGTTTATTGAAGTCATTGTAAGAAATACTTGCGAGTTTAGCAAATTGTATATTATCTCAAAAATTATAAGTAGAAAAAATTTAAACACAAACTTAAGTGTAACTCAGCCTTTCGCTAACTGAATAAAGAAAACGTTTTATAGTAATATTTACTTATATACAGACTTGTGACTCAGCAGACTCTATGTTAGGTTGTGGAAATAAGATGGTATCTTTGGTGATTATTGGTATCAATTACAATATTTATGGTAGTTTTGGTGATTAGTGTAACTTATTACGATATTTATGATTTTTTGTGTTTAATGGTATTGATTATAATATTTATGGTATTTTATATACATTTTTGTGTGATTGATATACTATTAGAAACCATGTAATCAACTTAATTAGTTACCCTGGAGTTTGTCGACCTTGGGCAATGGGGAGGAGACAACGATGTTACCAGAGACGATGACGTCATAGTTCCACGAAGTGAAACCAGATGGCGCATTGGTGTTAAAAACTTTCCAGCAGTAAGTTAAATGTGTTAGTAACAATATCGTCCTATAGAAACACAAATAAATGAAAAATAGATGAGACATTTTGAAATCTGCATGTTGTCCCATGGAAGTATAGAAACACCTTTGTAAAACGTACGTAATTAAATGTAAGTTGAAATCTGTATAAAATCCTCAGTAACGTTGTACACCTTTGTAAGACCCACATAATACAAATAGATATATAAATGAAAACAAAAAACATAAGTTGAGACCTGTATGCAGCCCTACAGAACTGTCAGTCTTTGTAAGCTGTATTTAATGATTTACTTATAAAGTGAAACTGATAACACATGGTTATGAAATTAGATTAAATCATTAGTTTTAAGACTTTATTACTATAATGCAATGTTGATCTATATCACACACCTAATGTTTTTATAAATATTCAACAACACAGCCAATCGTCTTTGTATGATTTATTATGCATTTAACAAATTGATTGTAGTTTTTAGTTTCTATATTTAAACATATGCTTTACAATTATTGTCCTGAAAAAGGACGCTTATTTAAATATCATGCTCTTTCACAAGTTTATCTTTATCCATATAACTATGTTCTTGACAAAATATGTCATTTCACTTATGTACTTTATACAGTGTTTCTACGGCCCGAAGATATTATCATTACTAAGGATAGTGTTACTTTAGGCAAACAATGTTCGGTATGACACCTGGTGTTTCACTTTCACAAGTCAACGAGACAAGTATTATGACACACGTATTATCTATTATTAGAACGATGCAGTTATCATAGCCAATAATTTACTTTACATACATTATTAGTTGAATGGCTAAAACCCCAAACTAATGAAGCAAGATCATATATGAAACTATTATTAACATTTACCAAAACTCAAACAAGAGCTCTGTCTACGCTTTTGATTTAAAATCCCATGACACAGAAGGCACAGTGGCTTTACAAAAAAAATAATATTTAGAATACCTGAATAAAATTCTGAAGACATTTTACAAGATTACCTGTAACGCTTGGAGACAACTCTATGAGCAGCAATCTCTTCACCTGCCATTACTAGGTCGGCGTCAGTACGTATTCGAATCTTTCAGCACAAACGTGAGGTTTGTTGTTGATAACTTTTTGTGCCAATTACTTTTTTGGAGATCTCACACCACCTGAGAAAAAACAACAACTGGTAACCTATTTTTAACATCCTCATAGCTGAGAACAAGAATTATTGATCTACTGTTTGTGGCTTAATAACTTCATTGGGATAACGTAGATGAATAACTGCTAGTTCTTCACATGTGAGAAAAACGGTTTCATACTTACTGCTGATCTTGGAAATAACAGTTGTCGTTTTACCTAGAAAATTTAGTCGATAAAATTGGTATAATTTCACATCAGAAAATTAAAATAAATAAGTATACGCCAAGAAAGCTGAAAGTGTGGTTGTTGCGTTGGCTTATTTTCTTTAAAAGAATAAGTTTATATAATATCTGATCAATGTTTGAAGTTAGTCTGATGATATAAGTATTTTCATACTTACTAAATCGTTATAGTATAGTAACACTATTACACTTAGTTGGTTTTACGTCAGAGACACAAAGTTAACACTTTTTTGCATTATAGGAGTACTTAAAAACTGTGACAACATCCTTTATCAAGAATAAACAAACTAATATTTCCTGCTACCTCAACTACAAAGCCAACAATTGTGATGAAGCCCCAGTACACGTGGTACCCACGTTAGCTGATAACTGCTGTGGACAATGTTCGATCAATCGCTTTCTATATAGAACGTGGTCCTTAAAATTTTATCACGTCCGGTAAAGTTCAGTTATTTTTTATAACATTAACAGTTTCGATGAAGCCTGTTATCGATTATTTAGGTTCAATTATCTTGTGATATGTTAGTTCTAAGAAACAATTATACTCAAATCGAATATTTAACAAAAAATAATATTAAAGTACATCAACCTTAGTTACCTGTACAGCTTTATCTCGTGTTGGCATGACTACAAAGGATTTCAAGTTGACAACAAAGCTTTTTCAAGCTTACAATTGACTGAAATGTCTCCTGCAGTTTAAAACTTTTGAGAAAAATTATTGGAAATGTTACCTAGACTGAAACAGGTCTTATTTGCTCCTGTAATATCCGTCATCAACCGTCTTGGGCACTACTGCACGCGGCACTTGCCTCGATCAGCTGACGCAGCCTTTCTGACAGATCAATGGTGACGGTTGGGACCACCGGCTGAGGGGAGGCAGGTGGTAGAGAGAAGAGAGGAATTATAACGGAATACGAGAGAAAGAAAACTGGTAAAAAAATCGCCACTACAACAAACGATATAACGCAATGTAAACTCTTCCATAAGTGTATAACAGAGTAATTTAACTCATACCGATTGCATGACAAAGTTAGCCATTACATGCATAATAAACATATTAGAAAAATGTCAAACTGGTTCTAGTGTAATACCTTTAACTAAAGTTCTTCCCAAAATGATCGAACATATATCAATAATTTCTATATTTAAAATTATATGGTAGACGATAACAGGTCTTTAGAAAATGGATAAAATATGATTTTTTATTAACCAAATAAAACGTCACAAGCCAATTTCTCTATGAAACCTACATTTGATGACGATACAATATTTACTTAGGTAATCGTATGTAGTGATGCAATAATTTCGAAAAACATAATTTTGTTTGCTTGTTATTAACCACAACGCTATCTGTCTTGAGTCCACCGTTGGTATCGAAACCCTATCTTTAGTGTTATAAGCTCTTATACGTACCGCTGAACCACTTTTTAAACGAACAAAAGTGGAGGTTTCATAGATCAGACGACATACAAAAAGTTACTTTAAATTTACAGCCTTAAGATTCAATAACTTTGAAGATTCAGACTGCAAAGAACAATTTCATTCTACATCCTGTAACTGGATCCAATTATATTTAAACCATTTAAAACAATATTTTAATAATCACACAGTGAATTACGTTTTTAGTGTAAATATATAGTTCAAATTACCTTTGTTACAAACTAGCCTATTTACGATGTAATACTATAATAGTCGTTATTAAGTCGAAAAAAGTTTTTAAGCCTGATTTCGCGATTAATTTCCAAATAATGCTGACTTTGTGTGCTTTACATATGGGTAAAGGATCAAGTACAAAAATAAGTTCTTTTGTACAGTTCGGTGTAATGTTAATTTAAGCAGTCTTAAGACCATGATTCCGGATTATTACATACAAACAATTCCCTTTCTCACTTAAGAAAACTGAACCTATTCTACCGCTACACAACCTTTGAAGTGTAGTGGTAGAATAGGTTCAATTTTCTTGAGTGAGAAAGAGAATAGTTTGTACGGATGAAATCGACCAATGTATTAATTAAAGTAACTTGTAACTACAATAAATCTAAATATATTTTATATCAAAACTTTTCACACTGCTGAGAAGCCTAATTCATTTCTTATAAGTCTTTTATTTTATGATCTACTCAAAAAAATTGACAAAAAATCAGCGTCAAAGTAAGGAAGTGTAGTTCTGAACAAATATCTTACAAGAAACGTAATAAGCAATAGAAATCTAAAAAAAGAGGTTTAAATAATCATTCTTTTTCGTTGTTGTTCTTTAATCAAAGAGTTATCTTCAACGCAGTGATAGATAACTCAAATACAATCCTGTGGTTATTAATATATCATCAACCCAAAATACATTTTACTTTTGGATTTCTTACAGGACCTCAGTCTCCAACAATTTTCACGCTCTCTTTCACCTTTCATACTTTATAACTCTTCCAATAAAGAAAATCAAAACATGTTTTACACAGTAATTGGTACCAAGTCGACAGACCTTGATCTCTCTCTCTCTTTGAGTTGATCAAGTCCCTCCACCATACAAGACATAAACTTATTTTTACGTGCTTATAGTTGCATGCATAGCCGGACCCAAACTATGCCGGCCTCACAAATGGTTAGCAATTAGGTATGTTTTACCTTTTCTTTTTGTCATCAGACGCCAGAAAACAAATGTTTGTTATATTCTGACCAGAAGTTCTTTCAAGCCACTCAGTGATGACAACGTAAGATTTTTCAATATTTGTGTCTTCATGCATGTTCAACTTGAAAGGTTTACAAACTAACGCTCTTGTAAAATGATAGTCAAATACCTTCGTTTTCTGGTCAGATACAAAGATCGAAACGTTGTTCATTTCGAATTCAGTGTTGAATGGCTTTTTTCTCGATTCTCAATTAATTAGCTATATAGTATGAAAAGATAAATTGAAAATTAATTTCATTTTAAAATTAAATATAAGTTTCTTTCAACTCCTGTTGTACAATCTAATAAGTCCATAAAGGCTGTAATAAAAAATAAATTTCAGTTCTTTCAATGATAACATTCACATAGAAACATATATAAATAGATGCACAATGATAGATGTTTCACAGAGTTAATTGTGAGTTCTCATTTTGACTGTAGCTTAAGTGAATGTTTCATTTGAAGAAAAAAAAACGTAAGTAATATTTTTACATATACTTTTCTCATATGGTGGAAGTTTCAAATCAGCGATTGTTAGTTAATTTAATGAAGAAGTCAAGCAAGGGAACTTTGAGTTTTACTCTTTAACAATCCAAATGTATATTTTGCATGATAATATTAACATAGTAATCAAGATACATGGTAGTGTGTCACGTAAGCTAGCGGTCTAAATTTTTTACTGCAGTTTCACCTAAAGAGTAATAATGAACCGTTTTTAGTTTTTTGTCATTCTGATTAAAGACGGCTGATTTAGAGTAGAAAAGCTATAGGGTGAAAGCATAACTAGATTATTCATTATTCATTGCCTCAACGACTCACAAAGCTTTTTAGATCTAAAAGTTGTTCTAAATTTTCACACTTAACTCAGCTGTTGTGTAATATATATATAAACATCGTTTCATCTGTCAATTTACCGCTTTTCTTGATAACTAAGTAAACAAATGATTATTTTATTATATTATAATTTTCGCTGAAGATGGAATAAGTTATTCCGAAACGTTCGAATCTTGTAAATAAAGTGTTCTATGTTTTATCAATTGCCTTCATCTTCATTATAAAACAAAGCTATTAAATAAAAATAACCCCAGTTAAGATGAAGAGAAACAAAACAACAATAGATAAATTACAAAATGTTAAGCTGAAACTTAAACTATAAACCTTAGCAAAAGAAAAAAATCTCAATCTTAACAAAAATTCTAAATATGATAAACGTTTATTTACAGAAGAAAAAACAACTCATTAAAATATGCTAATAAAAGAATTAGGCTTTTAATACAAAACACAATAACAATTAAGACAGGTTTGCACATGAAACTCTATTCTGCACGTGACCTCCGTCCACTCAGGATCGAATGCTGGCGCCGACAGAAAAAACAGCTTTCTATTCCTGGGTGTCATGTGACATCTTCTCTGCAAAAACCACGGCTAATTGCCAGGTAACAAACAAACAAAACACAATAACAATTAAGACAGGTTTGCACATGAAACTCTATTCTGCACGTGACCTCCGTCCACTCAGGATCGAATGCTGGAGCCGACAGAAAAAACAGCTTTCTATTCCTTGGTGTCATGTGACATCTTCTCTGCAAAAACCTCGGCTAATTGCCAGGTAACGAACGACGTCCGAAATCGTGTAGAAAGAAGCAAAATTAAAAATTGATTACTTGAACGACTTTTCTATGTCAAAACTCAACAGTAAGAAAACAGAAAATTTACATATTAACTAAAGAAGTAGAAAACACATGGTACCGTCCTGGATCACAAGGCCAGTTTTTTTTCTAATCTTCCTTCCTTGTTAAATGGAAGTTTAATAAACTACTGATAGTTAGCTCTTAATCTATTATTTTGCCAAGTGGTGAAAGTTATTATCGACAAAAGGCTGAAGGGAGGAGGATATATTGTTTAGCAAGTTGGACACAAAAATGTGACATTACGTTGGGTTTTCAGCCTCATTAGTTACATTATTTCTCTGTGGACCCATAAAAAAACATTTCATTCAGGAGACAAAAAATAACATGGATAACAAACACTCTTTCGGAAACCATTTAACTTATGTGGGATTCTATCGAGACATAAAAGAACACAACAATGTCTATCTTCAGTACTGTATATTATTTATTTTTTATTTCTATAGCTGTTGATTTCAGTTGTTACTATAGTATTTATTTTTAACTGGCACAAACTTGAGAGGTTTTTTGCTTCAAATTCTAGGACTAAAATTAATGATTATTACAAAGGTAACTTAAAATTTGTTAACTTCAGCTTGCAATTACAGTTGACGTAACCTATTTTTGAAATGTTATCTGACTTTTCCTTCTTCATAATGCTACATATGATACATATAACATGACATGTCTCTTCTTCTGCTCCAGTAGTGTTGTTGAATACAGTTAAAGTTTCGTAGGTTTTCTTCCCTTGTAGACTTCGAGTTTATTTTTTAGAGCAAAGCAGCTTTGTGCTATCTCCTGTGTCCACCGTGAATACTCGAACCCCAAATTCTAGTGTTGTAAGTCCGTAAACTTACCGCAGTTCCAGCGAGGTACAGACTTCGAGTCATCAATAATTTACCATTGGTAAAAATTAAACAGCGTTTCAATATACAATGTTTAAAACTATTTTTTACTTCAAATAATTACATAAATATAAATAGTTTTATGTAAGTAACACAGCTTTCGTAGTTCACCCTAAAAAAATAAGTATTTGTTTTGAATTTCGCGCACAGCTACAATAGGTCTAATTTAGCTGTGAAAAACTAGAGGGAAGGTAGTTAGTCATCACCACCAACTCTTGGGCTACTCTTTTACCAACAAATAGTGGGATTGACCGTCACATTATAACGCCCCCACGGCTGAAAGGGCGATCATATTTGGTGTGACGGGGATTCGCACCCGCGACCTTCAGACGGTGAGTCGAGCGTCCTAACCACCTGGCTATGCCAGGCCGAAAAGATATGTAATGCTAAGACTTTTTCTCGTTATGTACAATACTGCTACTAGCTGACACAAAATATACACTTTCAATGTACAGGTTTTGCTGACATGTGTACAACTATCAGTTGTTTTGTGAGCTGACATTTATTGGAAGAAATATTAGTAAATATACATTCATTCC